GCGTACTCTACTGCGACAGTGCCGATCTTGGAGGTTTCGCACTAGGGTACGTGTCGCACTAGAGTACGTGTCGCACTACAGTACGTGAACCAGTTTCCTCTCCGTCGCCGCACGTAGGACAAGCGCTGGTGCTCTACCATGCATAGGTTCCCGTGTATGTTTCTCTAAAAAAGGGAGAAGTGGTCAGCCGTCTAGGAAGCATGAGGGCTTTCCTAGTTTATATTGATTTGGAACAACGTTACAACATTTTTGAATTTTGTGGTGAATAATGTTTTATAACAGTCTTTACCAATACATAGTATTAAACGGATTAAACGATTCAACGGACTATATGAATATCAATATGAATTTCATCATATATTTGTGGAACACAACAAGAAAATTGAAAATAATCTTGTGAGAGGGTACGGTAGGGACCCAGATGTCGTTTCTACCCCAAATAAACTTTAAGGAGGCTTCTCTGTCTCATCAGTAGCCGTACCTCCTTACTCGGTTTCTGAACTGGAATTCTATGGGCTTCCAGACGGCCAGACCGAGTATTACCATCCCATCCTTCTAAAGTTCATCACAAGTAGCACCCACCTTGAAGATCTTTGACACCCAGTTTTATTTTTAGTATAATTTCAATAACCGTGGCCCGGTGTCTTTTTTGACTACAATCACTACCCAAAACTACAAGCTTTTGCATTTTTACATCACTCAATGCTGTAGGTAGTTCAAGATCATTGTTAAAGAATCCTGACGTAGGAGGATCCTGACGTAGGAGGATCCTGACGTAGGAGGATAATCTGCAACTCTGCAAGCGTAAGAGGATAATCAACCAAAACTTAATACTTTTGCATATTCAAACTCTATTTATTGACTCATTTTTTGCTTTAATCATTTTTCGATTCATTTATTGCTTCAATCATATTTTATCAATTTTGTTTGCTTTAATAATATATCAATTCATTACATCCCTGTCCCTGTCCCTGTCCCTGTCCCTGTCCCTGTCCCTGTCCCTGTCCCTGTCCCTGTCCCTGTCCCTGTCCCTGTCCCTGTCCCTGTCCCTGTCCCTGTCCCTGTCCCTGTCCCTGTCCCTGTCCCTGTCCCTGTCCCTGTCCCTGTCCCTGTCCCTGTCCCTGTCCCTGTCCCTGTCCCTGTCCCTGTCCCTGTCCCTGTCCCTGTCCCTGTCCCTGTCCCTGTCCCTGTCCCTGTCCCTGTCCCTGTCCCTGTCCCTGTCCCTGTCCCTGTCCCTGTCCCTGTCCCTGTCCCTGTCCCTGTTCCTGTCCCTGTCCCTGTCCCTGTCCCCTGCAAAATACAAGCAGTGTTCGTGAATCGTATAATTTTAAAGCTGCTTTGTGAAATTGGAGCTAATTGAAATATCTTTTTCTACAGAACAATGTCCATATTTCTCTTATTAATGCTTCACATACTCTTCTCTCCTGCACGCAGTGGTAAGTTTCATATAAAGTTTAAAGTTATAGTATTATAACTCGCTCCCCTCCATAATGGTAATAATAATATTCACAAATATAAATAGAATTTGACTATATTAAATCTTTTATTTGATAAACTTTGTTATATCGCCATTTGCATAGGGTACCATTGCTCGATGAGTGTAGTTTTGTAGGCAACGGCGCTCGAAGAATAGTGTTAAAAAATGTAGTAGATGTACGATTATGGCGCGGAACGTTCGTTACGTGTTACTACAAGAATCGACGTTTACTGACTCCAAGAACTTTTTACGGTTGTTGAAACAGTTGGTAATGTACCACTACCTGGCGACAATTCTCGAAAGATGTATCTGCCACTCGTAAGTCAGTGATGTAAAGAAACCATTATGATTGGAGATGAGCTTGACTAGGTAGTAGGTTTGTTTCAGGAAATATGGTGTGAATTGTTGAGTTTGGGGTGCTGACGCTCGACTTCGATGCCACCATGTTAATCTTATTTAGGATGTTCCGTCTAGCGACAGCGTTAATATCACAGTGGTTTAAGAGATGTTCTTCATTTTCGACAATATTGGCGCTAAAGATAATGTTGCACCATGAACATATTCGATCTTCACGAGGAGTTTTGTTATATGTACTAAGTACTTATATCTACCTAATTCAACCTCCAGTCGGTGTGCATGTCTTATGCGGAGTCTGGTGGTATTTACCCTGCCGTTATACTTAATCACGTGATCTAGGTAACACTCTTTCCCAAAGTTTGATTTTAGATTGCGGCAGAAATCTAGTTTCTGAAAAGAGACTCTTTGAAATACATTTTTATCGATTTTGATATGACATGAGGGGTGCATATTTTGCTACCCATTGGTCTTGTGGATTGTGAAGGAAGACGACTTTTGATACTGTTGTGTATAAGGAAGTTTTCTTTGGGTGGTTTTATAGCAAAGTCTCGGGCGAAGAAAGTATGGTACACACTACCTTAACCGTCACTGGCCTAATGTATAATTGAATCCTTCGGCTTCCTGTAATTGGCTGGTTACACACTTGTGTAACAATGTGCCTGTTGGAATGTCCGAAGTAAAATAAGTGTTGAGATAAATAAAAAAATAACGTTTGAGTGTTTTTTGCAGCTGGTTCAACGTGATTTTTAGTTTTAAGATGAAAAGCTGAAGTATGATCGGCGGAGAAAGATGGGCCGGGTCAATCGTAAGGAGTGGCGCTAAGCCTCTGTACCAGTCTAAGTTCAGGTTCTTTTGTTGTTGGAAGGCCAAGAAATTCGTCGACTCTCTGGCCAGTACATGAACACTGAAAATCACTGTACCAGCGCTTTTGTTTCTTTTCGCGCAACAACGAGTGCAAAGTGGCCTGGCTCAAGCATTACAGCATTACCAAGGCGACTGTAAACAAAATATTTTTTGTCAAAATCTTTATTTTTCACTTTAGTTTAAGTTATATTAATATAATAAATTCAAATCTTATGATATTGTTATTATCTTAATAGTTACTATTGTAGCTTAAGATTTTAAATTAATTGTATTCCGTGTATTCCTTGTATTCCCTTTATTCCTTGTATTCCTATGTCGTCCTCGGGCTGTGCGCCCTTGTGGACATATTATATTATATCGCCGCGCAGCTCTGCGCGGGCGATATAAATTTCCGACCGCTAGGCTGCGTGGATATATATATATATATATATTATTAGTTAGCCACAACTATCAGTAAAACAACGCCTTGACTTCAAATGTCGGTAAAATGTACCTTTACAGTCATCCTGATATAAAGACATGTTAGTAAATTTATTCAAAATATCAATCCATCAATCAATCAAATAGAAGAAATTTTAAATTTTAGAAATTTATGTAACTCAGCAATTCAAGTTATGGTGGGTAGAAATCCCAAATGAGTGGTAGAGGTGAGAAAATAAAATATGCAAGAAGAAAATCATCTTTCTTCTCTAACGTTCATCCCTCCAAAGTGCTTTAAAGTTTTAAGCTGGTTTTGCCAAAAGTTCTCCCTTTGTTTACAAATACTTAGTCTATCCTGGGCACATTGCTCAAAATTCCCAACGTCAACTTGCTCTATAATAGAAACATTAATGTCCTTACTTAAAGTACTGGTAAACAACTTAGTGGTTGTGCGGTCAAGATTGTGCAAAATCTCATTATCTATAAAATGGCAGGAAAGTTCACAAGTCCTTCTTTGAGTTTTAATGTGGGATTTATGGTTCCTAAATCTAACCTTTAAAGAGTCTGAAGTACATCCTATATAACTTAACTTACAAATATTATCATTAACTATGTACACAACATTTTTGGTATCACAGTCCAATCGTCCTTTGATACTGAATACTTGGTTGGTGTGGAAACTGCCGATTGTGGTTGATGGTTTCAGGAAGTTTTTGCAGAGATCACATTTCTTAGCACAAGGGAAGCAACCTCCAGAATCAGAATCCTCAGCTGTGTCTGGAGAGGCGTGGCCTGGATCTTCTACAGCTGGCTCTTCAACAGGAGGGAGTTTGCTATGAATAAGAATCTCATGAAGTGTTTTTGTCCCTCTAAAAGAGGTGAAAATACCATCAGGGTCAATCACCTTGCAAAGCTCGAGATCTAGACGGAGGATGTGCTTGTGGGAGTTAAGTATCCGTCCTATGTTGGGGAGACCTGGGTTGAAATCTGTTACAAGGGGAATGAGTCTCCCTTTGCTACTGTCATCCTCCTTATAAATCAAGAGGCTTGCATATAATGAACATATTGACACGGGTGCAGAGTTGAGTCTGTACGGAACCTAGTAGTTTCAGATCCTTGTTTAACTTGCCGTACAGCAAGGTCATCCACTACTTTAGCCCGGCGAGGCACATAACTCCCTCTACAACTCCATGACAAATGTTTCATATATACTAGCCGAGTTCACAAGTTATATCCTTGTGTTTGAGAAGAGCTCGTTAGAACTGCTTCCTTATGTCTCTGTTGTTGATAGTAGGAGAGCCTGCTCTTGGTTTCCACTTTATTAAAGGCCTGGTTAATTAAGTTATTGCTATAACCTCTTGCCACAAGATAGCTTGTGTATTGTGCTCGTGCTTGTATGTACTCATCATGCTCAGAAGTAAGTTTAAAGATTCTAAGTGCAGTGCTATAAGGTATGTTTTTTATGGTATGTGTAGGATGGCAAGAGGTGGGAACTAGGAAGGCATGGTCATCACATGGCTTACTGTAAGGTTTGGTATGTAGTTGGCCTGCTTTCATGTATATAAAAGTGTCTAAGAATTCAGTGCCCTCTAATGAAGCTTTCAACGTGAATTTTATGCCTGGCATTCTAGAATTGAGCCATAAGTGGAATTCCTCGAGCATTTCCTGTCCATGGGTCCAAGGGACATACACATCATCGCGGTATCTGGCCCATAGGAGAGGAGGGTGGCTCCAAGTCCCTTCCATGACATCTCTGTCTATCTTGTCGATGGCTGTATCTGCATAAGCACAAGCGTATATATATATTTCGTTGCTGTACTCCTACACATTAAAAGTCGGTGTTGATTAGATCTTCGAAATTCTTTGTATCATTTTATTAAACATCGTTATCTCATATTATTTGTTATATAGTAGTGTTGAAAGTATTAAAACTTTATATATAAAGCGAGACGATATATATGTATATATATGGATCCGTGCCATTTTACTGACACCACGGCACCAACTTTAACGCGACGTTCCGCAAAAACCGTAAAAGATATACAATTGAAACTTTTTTGACTGGGTCAAATGCTTTAATGGCCTTCAAATCAGCATGAAAACATAAAAAATTGGCCAAGGAATAAGAATTTTAGTGCCCAAAATTTGGACTCCCAAGTGGTGTCAAAAACGCGAATTAAATAGGCAATAATTATTTAAGTCTCTCGAGTCTTGACACCATTTTAGGGTTATACGGGTTCCTGCTAGTATATATAGCCCGGAGGGCCCGTTGGGCCCGAGTGCTATGCGGAATTACGCCCGTGAGGCGAGTAGGATATGTATTATATCCACTAGCGGGCGCTTTACAGTTTTTCATCAGAAGAAGACCTACGCCGCAGACTAACACCAACAGATGATCATCTCAACTTCTGTGATGAGATAACATCCGTCAGACGGCTGAATACGTTACCGATCATAACAGGGCTAAACGACCCCGTCATAAGAATGAGAAATCTCTCATCATCTCCAGGATACACCTCAGTCAGTCCAGGAGGTGACTCTGCCGAGCTTTGTCGTGACATTTTCCATTGCAAATCTCTCTTCCCAACAGAGCCTGCGAATATCCTATACTGGTCGACAGACAGTGAAGTATCCTTCAGGAAATATGGGATCCACCAACGGGAGTTTTGTTTGTTCAGCTCTCGTTACTACCCATGCAACTCATGGGACACATATGATGCCAAGGAGTTCAAGGAAGTACCTATCCTACTTCAGTGCATGAATCAAATCATCAGCGATCATCGCATCGACGAGAACCCCTCACTCAACAGCTGTGTGGTCGAAAAAATTAGAATGAACGAACACACACCAGAATCAACGGTTTTCCCATCCGACCTTGATTCATACGCAGAGGACAACTCCGTTATGGTAATCCTCTGCCTGGGTCAACAGAATGCGATCGATGTTATACCCAAGTCACACTCCGGATCTTTGCGTGGTAAGGTAGATGCAGGAAGGCTGTCTCCGGATCATGGGGGAGCGGTTTTCTTGTCCAAAGATGCACTCAAACGCTACCAAGTCCGGTCAGGAGTAGGACTCAGTAACTCTCTAAATAACGATGCAAGACCATCTTACAGACTTATCTTTTTTCGCTCGAAAATAGATACTGACGGAACGTTGTTATGGGACAGTACCGATATTCCCAATGAGAGTATCAGATCATCAAGATTCTGCAATACCCTAAGTTACAGAATGGGTCAAGTTCATATATACCAACAAATATTGGACAAGCTTACCCCAGCTGACTTTACTTTGATACTGGATGCCATGGATCAATCCACATCTAGTAGCGACTCCCTGAACGATATGAAAACAAGAACAGAAACTCTCTTAGCAGACCCTTACTCACCCCCCAGCTATGCCGCTGTAAGTGTAATAGTAACTAAGATGAAACTTAAAGACGCGAAAGAGGAGCTTACTGCATGTAACCAGGAAAATAATGGTGTTGTAGCCTTGTTAAGACAGAGACTATGCAGATACTTAACTAGGGACTCAGACCAGTCATGCGACAAAAGTGGAGAGTTCTTATACTCCCCTGAACCGCCACTCTCTGAAACTGCCCCGGTTCCAAACAGCGTTGTATCTCCTACTGAGTTCTGTTTTACCAGCTCACTGCCCAACGCTAAGGATTTCCTGAGATCAAAACTGGATAAACACTCCTCTACACAGCAAGCATCCAAAACTAAGAGGAAAAGACAACAAGCTGACACCAAGACTGATCTAAGCTTTCAAGGACTTGAAACTTACATTAAATCACTCGAATCAGCTACAGAAAATGAACTCACAAAGGAGCTCGGATTCCTCAAACTGAGCAGTGAAGGAAGCTCAAAAATCAGAAAAAAGAGGATCACTCAACATCTGAAGAACCCTAATCAACTCTCCGCTGCTAGCAGCAGTGCTACATCTGAGCAACTCAACGATGTGCAGAATAGACTGGAAGTGATGGAAAGATCCAATGTGTCAATCAGCTCTATTCTTACTGAAATTAAAAATGATATGAAAGAGCTAAAGCTCACGATAACAGAAAAGACCTCTGGAGCCAAATCGACTGGAGACTGTCAAATAGCAAGAAATTGTTCAAGTGGCACTGATCTCCTTAAAAGCCTGACAAAAGCTACCCAAGACACCAGTCTGCTCCTCGAAAAATCAGAAAAAGGTCTAAAAGGGCTGACACAAACCCTAAAAGACACTATGACTGTAAAGAAAGATCTGGATGTCTGGCGTCAGAGCGTTTTCAAAAGGGAAGAGAGTGACAAAATCAACGAAATCCATAACATCATTTCGACCCCTAATTTTCAAGAAATCCTCAGTATCAGCCAGTTAGACCCAGGTGCAAATGCTAGCCAAGACCATGTGAGACATATCCCCAGGTCTCCGGCTGACACGAGGACCAACAGGGACACCCCTGGGCTATCACCAAATCAGGGACGACCCTCCTACAGGAGAGAGGGTATAGAACCCAGACAGAGAGACAAGAGAACAGGTGTCTTCCGGGCAGATAGACCAAAAAGAGCAAGTAACCGGCCTGTTCCAAGCCAAAAGAAAATAGTTCTCCTCTGTGACTCAACCATGAGAAGCTTTAAACCTGAAGAGTTTCCGAAAAGATACAACGTCTCTGTAATTTACAAACGGAGCCTGAAAGACCTTCACTCAAGTCTCGAATCAACGGTCGAACAGATTTCCAATCTCAACCCAGATGCAGTGTACGCTCACCTTGGTACTCAGGACATCATAGATGGTACCGAGCCTGACTCCGTGGTGGGATCACTAATAAAGTCTACCGAAAAGATACTTAGACAGACTTCGCAACACTGCCAACTTTTCATCTCGCATCCCTTTCTCCGCGACCATCCTGGAGAGGAATGGAGTAAGAGTAGTCGACTCATCACTGAAGCAATCAGAAATCTTAAAGGTGACAGTGAGAAAGCTGATTTCTGGATGAGATCAAGGGAAAACAGAAACAACAACTTCTACTCGGGGGGATCAGATATCCCACACGACTATTTGTTTGTCCCAGATCAACCTCATCTGAATGACAGAGGTATCAGAGTAATCATGGGCAACTTCAAGACAAGCCTCAACAGTACATTTAGCAGAGACCGCACCTGAGTACTAGTCTCTCATTCTCAGCTTATCTAGTCCCCTCCCTCCTTTTCTCCTTCTCCTCTTGCCTCTCTCATCCTTTATACAAGTTGACTGATGAACTTTGTCAACGGTATAATTTCCTGGAATGTTGCAAACATTCATGGTTTGCTCGGAAACAAAATCGAGGATCCCGATTTTGTAAAAATCATCAGTCCGAATGATATTATCTGCCTTCAAGAGACCGGATGCGAAGTGTCTCTGAAAGGATACAAATCCTATAGTGACATCCGAAAATCTGGTAAAGGTGGAGGAGTAACTACTCTGGTTAGGAACACTATCCTGGAATATTGCTCTCTGGAGAAATTCACACTTACTGCGGACCACTCAATGAACATTGTAATTGTTAAAGTTACTGATCCCTACACCAATATCAACACCTTTGTTCTCAATAGCTACATACCACCTACAAACAGCAAATTGAAAAACCGCACTAACTGCTCCGAAGCAAATTTTGATGCCCTCCAGGAAAAAATAAGCAACATCAAGGATAACTCCAGTAATGAGCTCATACTTCTTGGAGACCTTAATGCCAGAATAGGGGCATCTCCTGAATTTCAGATATATGACAGAGCGGATGAATTCGAGCTCTTTCCAGAAACTGGCAGGCCCTCCGACTTCATGGTTATACCAGATGTGGCACCTATATCTCAAAATAGGAACAGCCAGGACAAAATCACCAATAGACATAAAAATCTTTTGCTTGACCTTTGTGGATCGCAAAACCTCTTGATCCTTAATGGACGTACCATTGGTGACTCTGCCGGAAAATACACATGCTTCAAATGGAACGGAAACAGCGTGGTGGACTACTTCATTGCATCAACATCCTTTCTTCACCGTGTCAAGTCCCTCTCAGTGGGCGAGCATACTCTGTTCTCCGACCACAATCCTGTTCTACTCAGTCTCTGGCATGGACACGGAGCCCCTCAAAGGAATAGTCGAGCTCCCAATAGCAATTATCAGGAAGCTCCTTTTCGTTACCGGATCACAGAAAACAGTCTAGTCAACTTCACACACTCCTTTGAACAGCCTGAGTTCATCCAAAGAATCTCCCAGCTAACCAAAGATGCCGAATCCGCCCCAAAAACCCATGAGGCAGTCGAAGCACTGAATAGGCACATTACAGAACTTATAAATGATGCCGCTAAAAATGAGCTTGAAATCTCTAAACAGACCCAGAATCCAAAACCCAAGTTCGATTCATGGTTTGACGGCAAGTGTCACACCGCACGACGCCTCTTCAAGCGGTCAATAAAGATTGTCGATAATAACCCTGACAATCAAAGGATCAAAGCTCGACACCGTGCTAACTGCAGAGGATATCGAAAGATTGTCAATAAGAAACGGGATGACTTCTTCAATAGTCTTAACAAAAAGATTAAAAACGGTAAAACCATATCCTGGAGAGACTTCAAAAAGCTTAAGAGCTACAAGAAGGAAGAAGTCCAAACTGACTCAGAGCAACTTAAAACCTTCCATCAGTTCTACGCTGAGCTCTACTCTGACACTCATCCAACTGTAGACTCACTCACAAAAAGAGCTCTCCTCGAAGAAGCCAACACCCTAGCCGAGGGATCTGCCCCAAATGAGTCGCTGAACAGCGCATTTACACTGGGTGAGCTGAACGCTGCACTAGGCAAACTAAAATCCGGCAAAGCATCTGCTTTTGACCACATAAGCAATGAAATGCTCAAGGGTTTGAACGTGAAAATGAGGTCCCTCCTCCTTAAACTCTTCA